GGGGGGGGGGGAGAGAGTGAGAGAGAGAGAGAGAGAGGTGGTGGTGTGGGGAAGAGGAAAGAGGGGTTTTCCATGGCTTTTTAGAGATTTATTCCTGTGCGAAAACGAGATCTTGAGGAGGGTACGCGTCTCAGGTGTCCCTCCGTTCACACACGGAGATGTAGAACATGCGAAGATGGGAGAGCGTGAGGGTTGGTGAAGGGGGGAAGCAATGTCCACAGAATTACCTGTGCGGGTGACCTGTGTTCAGGAGAGAGAGAAGTGAGGGAATCAATCCATTGAGTCCACGATTTTTGGGGTTACTGTAGCGAGTTAAATGGTGAGTATGCTGTCGTTTTTTTTTCTTTACCTCTCTCCGTTTTGTTTCCTGCAGCGATCGGGGTGCATTATTGCCCGCGCAATTGTTCTTCGAAATGCAACGCATAATCTGCTCATGCATAGCGTATGCATATTTACACAGGTATATAAATATATATATATTGTCACACTGGAAATCGGAGTATATAATATGTTTGTCGTCTTATATTTCGTCAAACATAACTGCTTGGTAAGCCGTAGGCAGAGAGGGAGAAGATGACAACGACGAGCGGCTGTGACAGTCCGTTTCGTCAGAAGAGTTTCACCGACATGTATCAGCACGTCTATGATGCTTACATACATAAATATAGAATGGGAAGGGCTGGCTGGGTTTCAGGGCATCGGCAAGTCTTTGCTTGCTGATTAACATCTGGTTCTTTTCATCGCGGAATGGGTGTTTGCTTTAATTTATCATGAGTTTAATTACTTGTTAGTCGCGTAGTAAGCCGCCTGGTTTGTGGTGGAGCGTTTTGGCCTTGGCCCGATATATCCGCTTGCGTCTCGGTCGTTTGGGCAAGTTCACACCCATGCAGGGGAAGCCGTTTGTGGTCGTGTTTAGGACTACGTGCCGATGCGCGATCCATCCGAAAAGTCAGAGTGCTGGAATGAACGAGGTCTCGCGAGTGACTGTGTGAACTCCCCGAGCGGTGTGCGTGCGTGTGTGAGTTTGTAGTGAGTATGCCCGGTTTATGTGTGTGTGTGTGTGTGTGTGGGG